GCACTTGAACTAAAGGTTGTCGATGAGCTTTAGATCAAGCACCCCCGCTGCCATTTTTAAGTGCGGGGACACTGATACACGAGATGCAGGAGGATGCAGGAACGCAGCAATTGCCACGCTCCAGCAGATTCGATTAATCGAGTCTGCTCTGACGCGTTGGAATTCCAGCGCATCAGAGCAGTTTCGGCACTCGTGTAGAGGCGCCCAATGTTTTTACCATTATGAACTTGTTTTCAGACTCTGAGAGCTGCTCCCCATCAAGTGCAAAGACATTATGTGAGGTTAGGGCTAGAGTCCATGAATTTCCTGTTTAGGCAGAAGACAGAGTAGATTTGCATCTTAGGTCCCCTCTACATGTTGTAGGTATTGCACAAGTAACTGGTTAATTGTGCAATTACCTTGAGACCAACGACACATGCAAAGTTCCTATTACACCATAAAAAGCTCCAACAACCAGCTATAAAGTTAGACCTGTTTCCCTCGGTGCTCTTAAGGACAATACCAAAATGAGGAGGAGGACACGGTAGGCAATGTGATGATGCTAAAGGGATCAGCATTCACTTACTCATAGCAGATCTTCAAGTTTCTAAGGGAAATGAAGGTGCAAGCACACTCCCACCCCCTCCCTGCCCCCACGCAGCACTGATGGAGATTGTGTCCATGGACTAGCAGAACGCTGCTGCTGCTGCTCTCCCCACCTTTTGTGCATCTCCAGGCCATATCCACTAGATCTGTCTTCTCCTAAACACCCATGGAAGAGGAAATACTTGATTTTCTCCAGATACAGCATGAGATGAGATGCACACCTTGTTTTTTAATAGCAGAGTGAAGAAAAAAACATTTTTCCTTGAAAATACTGGGAAGTAGCAGTGAGTAGCAGCTTCTGCAACAGAAGCCTCTGCCAGGGGAGGGAGAAAGTGTCTGCAGCCAGCAGGTAGAGAGCCCTGCACGTTCGATGGGCTGCCCTCAGCAGAGGCAGAAACAGCTATTACTGTATTTCCTCGCTCATAATGCACATTCCAATTTCCAGGGGCTGAATTTTTGGGAAAAGACATGTGTTGTATGTGAGAAAATACAGTACAACTGTCAGTTTTTGGCTGCGGTAGGAAGGTGGGAACTGACAGTGAATTCATAGCTTTTTTTTTTTTTTTAAATCACCCAAGAATACCAATTACAAGTGCAGAAAGTTATTGTGCTTTGCTACCCGGGCCATAGATGCTTCACAACTTGGATGAATAGCTGCTTTTCCATTCTTAACAAGGATTCACCAGTACGCTAATAGCACTTCAGTTTTCAGAGTCAGTTTTGAAGAGGAATGATTAGAAATCAGGGATGGATAGTTAGCGATGTGTAGCTAGAACATAACAGAGCTATATCTGTAGAGTACTTCCCACAGGCCTCTCCATCCTAAACCATGCATATAAATACGGACTTGACTACTGATTGCATTAAGGAGGGACGATTCAGTAGTCTAGAAAGGAGTAATCAAGCCCAATAGCACAAACCTGAAGCTTATGAAATATTTATTTTGGCAGGGCAGCTTCAGGAAACCTAGGCTGGAACTCTGGATGACTCAGTGCATATCGCTATGCCTCTCTGACATCTTCACTGCCAGCTATGTAGGTAGAAAGAGCTTCATGGACTTTAATTCAATAAGTCACAGGGAAA